TTCCCATCTGCTCTGACCAGTCTCTCTACCATGACCTTCCTTCCTCCTGCATACCCCTGTACCCTGATCTTCCTTCCCCCCGCATACCGCTCTGTACCCTGACCTTCCTTCCTTCCTCTCCATACCCCTCTGTACCCTGATCTTCCTTCCCCCTACATACTCCTCTGTACCCTGTCCTTCCCCTCCATACCCCTCTGTACCCTGACCTTCCTTCCCCTCCATACCTCTCTGTACCATGACCTTCCTTCCCCTCCATACCTCTCTGTACCATGACCTTCCTTCCCCTCCATACCTCTCTGTACCATGACCTTCCTTCCCCTCCATACCTCTCTGTACCATGACCTTCCTTCCCCTCCATACCTCTCTGTACCATGACCTTCCTTCCCCTCCATACCTCTCTGTACCATGACCTTCCTTCCCCTCCATACCTCTCTGTACCATGACCTTCCTTCCCCTCCATACCTCTCTGTACCATGACCTTCCTTCCCCTCCATACCTCTCTGTACCATGACCTTCCTTCCCCTCCATACCTCTCTGTACCATGACCTTCCTTCCCCTCCATACCTCTCTGTACCATGACCTTCCTTCCCCTCCATACCTCTCTGTACCATGACCTTCCTTCCCCTCCATACCTCTCTGTACCATGACCTTCCTTCCCCTCCATACCTCTCTGTACCATGACCTTCCTTCCCCTCCATACCTCTCTGTACCATGACCTTCCTTCCCCTCCATACCTCTCTGTACCATGACCTTCCTTCCCCTCCATACCTCTCTGTACCATGACCTTCCTTCCCCTCCATACCTCTCTGTACCATGACCTTCCTTCCCCTCCATACCTCTCTGTACCATGACCTTCCTTCCCCTCCATACCTCTCTGTACCATGACCTTCCTTCCCCTCCATACCTCTCTGTACCATGACCTTCCTTCCCCTCCATACCTCTCTGTACCATGACCTTCCTTCCCCTCCATACCTCTCTGTACCATGACCTTCCTTCCCCTCCATACCTCTCTGTACCATGACCTTCCTTCCCCTCCATACCTCTCTGTACCATGACCTTCCTTCCCCTCCATACCTCTCTGTACCATGACCTTCCTTCCCCTCCATACCTCTCTGTACCATGACCTTCCTTTCCCCGGCATACCCCTGTACCCTGATCTTCCTTCCCCCTGCATACCCCTCTGTACCCTGACCTTCCTTCCCCCTACATACCCCTCTGTACCCTGTCCTTCCCCTCCATACCCCTCTGTACCCTGACCTTCCTTCCACTCCATACCTCTCTGTACCATGACCTTCCTTTCCCCGGCATACCCCTGTACCCTGATCTTCCTTCCCCCTGCATACCCCTCTGTACCCTAACCTTCCTTCCCTCTACATACCCCTCTGTACCCTGATCTTCCTTCCCCCTACATACCCCTCTGTACCCTGTCCTTCCCCTCCATACCCCTCTGTACCCTGACCTTCCTTCCACTCCATACCTCTCTGTACCATGACCTTCCTTTCCCCGGCATACCCCTGTACCCTGATCTTCCTTCCCCCTGCATACCCCTCTGTACCCTGACCTTCCTTCCCCCTACATACCCCTCTGTACCCTGACCTTCCTTCCCCCTACATACCTCTCTGTACCCTGACCTTCCTTCCCCCTACATACCTCTCTGTACCCTGACCTTCCTTCCCCTCTGTACCCTGACCTTCCTTCCTCTCCATACCCCTCTCTACCCTGACCTTCCTTCCTCTCCATACCCCTCTTTACCCTGACCTTCCTTCCTCTCCATACCCCTCTGTACCCTGACCTTCCTTCCTCTCCATACCCCTCTGTACCCTGACCTTCCTTCCGCTCCATACCCCTCTGTACCCTGACCTTCCTTCTGCTCCATACCCCCTCTGTACCCTGACTTTCCTTCCGCTCCATACCACTCTGTACACTGACCTTCCTCCCCCTCCATACACTGACCTTCCTTCCCCTCCATACCCCTCCGTACACTGACCTTCCTCCCCTCCATACCCCTCTGTACACTGACCTTCCTCCCCCTCCATACACTGACCTTCCTTCCTCTCCATACCCCTCTCTACCATGACCTTCCTTCCTTCCTCTCCATACCCCTCTGTACCCTGACCTTCCTTCCGCTCCATACCTCTCTGTACCCTGACCTTCCTTCCCCTTCATACCCCTCTGTACCCTGACCTTCCTTCCTTCCTCTCCATACCCCTCTGTACCCTGACCTTTCTTCCTCTCCATAGCCCTCTGTACCCTGACCTTTCTTCCTCTCCATACCCCTCTGTACCCTGACCTTTCTTCCTCTCCAGACCCCTCTGTACCCTGACCTTCCTTCATTCTCCTCAATACCCCCCTGTACCCTGACCTTCCTCTCCATACCCCTTTCTACCCTCACCTTCCTTCCTTCCACTCCATACCCCTCTGTACCCTGACCTTCCTTCCGCTCCATACCCCTCTGTACTCTGACCTTCCTTCTGCTCCATACCACTCTGTACCCTGACCTTCCTTCCTCTGCATGCCCCTCTGTACACCGACCTTCCTTCCTCTCCATACCCCTCTGTACACTGACCTTCCTCCCCCTCCATACCCTGACCTTCCTCCCCCTCCATACCCTGACCTTCCTCACCCTCCATACCCCTCTGTACACTGACCTTCCTTCCTCTCCATACACATGCAACTTGTGGACATCACGGGTTTGTACCTTTGCTGAGATTTTATTTCCTTGTGGATATTTATAACTTTATAATATCCCACACCTGAATGTAGTGGTTTCTGGGAGAACTGCATCAAAGACACAATGTTTTAGATTTGTATCACATTTTATATAGATCACTCACTCGAGCACAGTGTAATGACTTGCTGCCCAGCTTCCTGATTGGCCAGCTTCTCGACCAATCATGAAGCCGGGCAACTAGTCATTACACGGCGCCTGGCTTCCTGATCGGCCAGAAAGCCGGCTCCATGCTTCCTCGTCACCTGATCACAAGGGAGCATGGAGACGGCTTCCCTGCTTATCGGGAAGTCGGGTGGCGAGTCTTTACACACCGCCGGGCTTCCCGGCTAATCAGGAAGCCAGGTGGAGAGTCATTATATGGCGCCTGGCTTCCTTAATGGGACTTCCAGTATCGGTATTGGTGAGTACCGAAAAAAATATTGGCTCTCGATACCAAAAAACTGCTATCGCTGCATCCCTACTTCATACCTCTCTGAACACTGGTAACATTAAAAAAATCTTTCCTCTTTCCTGTGAACTCTCCAAAAAAAAGTTGCCATGCGGCACTAAAGTGTTTGGGTTTCACACGAAGAGAAGTTGGCATGTGTCCGTTCACATCAGATTACCCCTGATTTGGCACGATCCAGTCCATCGAAACAGAAACACTGTTACCTCTTTTTTCCGACCCAACCGGAGGCGGGGGTAACAGGTGTATGCGTCGTCATAAACTTGCATTGGGCATCCAATCGGTTCTGCCTAAATAACTTACAGACGGACCTGATCGGACCGTGCCTCCCGGATCACTTTTTCCTGTGTGTAGTTGTTGCCGGGCTTAGCACCATTTATTTGTTCACATGTGTTTACGCGCCTTTAGTTGTGGAAAACTGATCAAACGACCCGGGATGCAGACATTTCTAAGTTTGGGTAAAGTGACGGGGGGGGACGGGACGGGACAGAACACACACAAAGATGGAGGGTGGTTTTTAGGATCCTTGGCCGATGCACTGGCGGAACTACAAGGGTCGCAATTGCGTACCACCCTTTTGGGGGGGGGCAGAGAGGAAGAAGAGCCCCCCGGAGTTAGTGCCGCTCCTTCCACGCCACTCTGCCACCCGCAGAATGTACGGACGGCTGTACAGGCTATCACTTGTCCAGCAGAATGTGCTGCAGGCACCACCAGGCAGCACATTCTGCTGTGTGGGAGAGGACCTTCTCCACTTAGACCCGCCCCCTGGCCGCCGAGAAGCGGAAGACGGTGCTGCAGCAGTCAGGTCAGGTAAGAGTCTGGCCCGGGAAAGGGGGGCGCTGGGAAGGGGGGAGCTGGTGGTATTCTGCATGGCTGATGTTTATTATAATGTATTGCTGGGACTTGTAGTCCTGCATAGCTGGTGGTATTCTGCATTGCTGTATAATGATTATACAGCAATGCAGAATACCACTGGCAATACATTTTTAAACAAGCGGCTTCCTGAGGTCCTGTGCTTGCTTGGGACCTTGGCAGCCTTCCTGTTAACCACATGGCGCCATGGGGTTGGGGGTGCCCTTCATGGTTTCTTGCAGCGGGCCCCTGAAAAGTTCTAGTTACACCTCTGGGCCAGGGGGTTCTTTATTAGGGGTTCACGGAAATGGGACACTGCAAGTATAGAGTCCAGGGACAGGGCAACAACCACCCGGGCACAGCAAAGGGTTAACAGCAACAAGGCACAGCACGGGTAGAGTCCAGGGACTTTGGGCAGCAATCCGGGCACAGCAAAGGGTTACCAGCATTAAGGCATAGCACAGGTAAAGTAAGGACTCACACTTTGGGCATCTGGCCATTGTAGCAGGGGAGGGACTGGTTAGCCTGGAGGTGGTTGGTAGTGGTAGTCCCAGAAGCTGGTCTGTAGAGCAGGATCATGGGTGAAGAGAGTCCAGGTCACAGCCGAGGACCACCAGGCAGGCTAGCAGGCAAAGATGAGGGGACAAAGGAGACTGGATCCTGGGTGCGGGGTCCAAGGGAGCCGAGGACCACCAGAAAAGTCAGCCTGGACAGGTAGAATGAGGGACACACTTGCGAGCCCTGCTCAGGTATTAAAACAGGTGGCTATGTGGGGGGAGGGGACCTGTGACAGGCAAATGGGACTAGATTGGATGTCTAGGTGCACACTCAGTCTCTCTATATGAATATTCGGCCATAGTTTCGGCTTGCCATATGGAAGGGATGGAGCTGAGATAAGTACAGAGCGTTGTGTACCCCGGTAATGAGACACACTCACACAGGTACCTCACACCTCGAGTGGTAAGAGTCCGGTGTCCCCCTCCCCAGCTGTGTGCAGAGCGGAGAGCGCACGCCTGCCTATGAAATGTTATATGAGAAGGTGTGTCTGGAGGAGGCTCGTCTTCGGGCACACACATCGAAGGAGGAGACTCGAGATCCGATTCCTGAGCGCTGAAAGCTCCGAGCAGATCCTTCCCACGAGTGTGCCGGGCTGCGAGTCACCGTGCACTGGACACAGCGGGGGTAGTGACATTCCACGGGACAAAGCCGGAAACATGGCGCACGTCAGGAACGGGACGGAGTACGAAGCCGATGAGGTACACGGGGCGATGTCCGAGCACAGTGTGGGTGGCATGGTGACTGAGCTACACTCTCCCTGGTGTGGAAGGGGTGAGCGGAGCTGTCAGAATCATGTTGGTGGGGATCGCACAGCGCGTTGCTATGTAGCGACTGTCAGTGAGGAGTGTGGATGATAACAGGTGGTTGGTGTAGCTGTCCCGCCTGCTCTGTGTACACAGGTAGACAAGGACGGACTCTGAGTAACTGGATCGCCCAGCATCCTACCATGTAAATGAGGATCGGGTTTCCCTATATATATATATATATATATATATATATGCGGGTGATTGCAGGCTTACACAGGGACTCTGCCTGGCCGCTCTAATAGAAGATGTGTGATCGTCCATGACTGTTTATGGAAGAAAAGTCATTCAGTCGTGCTAAGTGCATGTGAGTATGTTGTACTGCACGGCAACCGGCGTCACGTGACCGGCCCTGCACATTTGGCGCACCATTGACCTGTCAGAAGGGTGATCATATACCCGGGTGACAGGGCACATGACAATGGCGGTGCACACGTATGTTCTTCCATCTAATATTAGATGGTTGGGGAGCAGACTGCCTTCTGTTCATGGTTGTCAGGGTGACGGGCACATGGGAGATGGCATCATTACATACACATGCATCTCTGATCACTGTGTGGGCTCCATTACTGTCATATCACACTCCTCGGATCTTGTCTTCACTGATGGGAGCAGATTTTGTTATTACATTTCGATTGTTTAGTAAGTCATGATGAATGCTGAATTCTACGAAAAAGCAAATATTGTCTAATTACAAAATGTCTGTTATCATTTGAATCTTCCTAGGCTTTGATTATTTTTCCCCCCCTCAAAGAATGAAACAACTGCCCTTCCTGTAATAAAGACCAGTCACTTCTGCTCCTGCAGGGTGACTGGTCTTGTCTCTGCCCCCTCCTGTAGGTTTTTGCAGGCAGTCTGTAGTGGGTGGGTCCTTCCCACAGCTCTCTTCTCTGCATTGTGATTATGTCAACACTAATTTTAGGACCCATGCACACTGGCATCTGGCCATTCCTGCATCTGTCCATGGTTGTCTGCATGTAATCGTACATGGAACGATTACTTGCGGATTGGCAAAAAAGCTTGTCTCTGGATGAAAGCGCTCTGAGGGGAAATTATGAAAACTGGCGCAAACAAAATCTGGAGCAGCTGTCCGTGGCAACCAATCAGCTTCTCTCTTTCATTTTTAAAACTTAAATTAACAAACTGAGGAGGGAAGCTGATTGGTTGCCCTGGGCAACTGCTCCACATTTTGTCTGCTCCAGTTTTGATAAATTCCCCTCTCTGTGTCCTGGGAGAACCATCTCTCCCGATCCAGTACACGTACAATTACATGCGTACTGCTGCAGACAGATGTGGCCATTGTCAGCCTTTCAATAATGGAATGGGCCCAGCACCAGGCACTGAAGGGACGCACCTGGAATCTGTAGGTTCTTGCTGCGGGAATCCTCAGACACCCTTATGCATGAGGTCTTACAAGATGATATCTGGGTTTGTAAAGGCATTTGGTGCACACAAAGCTTCTTTGTAGCTGTTAAGGTTTAAAGGGAAATTCTACCTTTTAGAAAAAGATTATATATACACACTTCATAAAAGAAAAAAGGTGCATTTAGTATTTTTTGTTTTCTTGTATTGGAGCCAGTGAAGCATTACAACCCTGATCAGTGGATTGCAGGTGCAATGATCTGGCTCCAGCAGACTCTTCCTTTCATGCATTGATAATGTTTCCATGCATTTCTACAGCCTTATGAATTGTTTGTTTTGCCCAATGACAAGTAATCTTTCTTGTGACATCAAGTGTCATTAAGCATTGTCTTCCTTCAAGCTTCCTCTGTCCATGGTTTCTTGTGTAGTTGTATTGCAATCTTGTGTCCTAGCTGCTGTGCCTGTGCGTATGGCAATAGCTGCAGCTTTGGTGGTGGGTGGCATTGTACAGCGCTGGCCGCGCTCCGACCAGGCAGGTGAAGGCGTCGAGATCCATCATTCTGCAGACTTGTCTCTCCATCTCATCTGCAGCCTGCATTGAGTTGAAATTCCCGGTTATGGCAAAAAACGATAGGTGAATGTTCCATTAGGCCAGGATCACACCTAGGTGTTTTCGGTTTTACACATTCTTGTGCAATCGTTTTCTGCGTGTTTTTGCATTTAAACACAGATATACATAGAGATATCTGTTGGGACCAAAACCACGTGACATCCGCCTAAAAATAGCTCCTGCATCTTTTTGCATGACAGGTGTTTTCGTTCACGCAACGTTAAGGTGTGAACTGTTGCCATTGACTTGTGTTGAAATATGTCTTTTGCTAGTTTGCAAAAACGCTTAGGTGTGAACCAGGCCTGAAAGTCTATAGAGCCAAAATCGCTCTAAGTCACTCCAATTACCTTTTTTGATGCCCCTTGCTGCGATCATCTTCTTCATTCCACTCGTTTCTGATTGTCCCTCCAGTGCTGGTGTCGGTCTCTGATCCACCACAGACTCCTGTCCCATGGTGTCTGTCCAATGTGCAGGCTACATTCATTGAGTTTCATCGTCTCTCCTCTCCCCTCTACTGCGCATGTGCCCGCACACTTCTCCACAGCTGTTCGGGAGGCGGGAGAGCTTCAGCTGGGAGTGAGCGGTGCTAGAATAGGGAAGTATTTAGGTATTTGCCTCATTTCTTTTTTAATCATGGGGTATATATATCTACTGTTTGCTAGCAGTAGATATATGCCACAAAACAATAGTTTAATTATACTGTAAGGTACAACATGGCCACTGCACTTTGTATCTATTGCTGAAACCCCTAGGAATCATTGAGCTTGAAATGTACAGTAGTTAGCTGGGTTAAAAGATGGGACTCTTATCGGTTGTTATGCTTTCCACAGTAGGATTGCCCTTTGCACTGCTTTATTCAATACATATACTCTTGTCAATCATCTTTGGCTCTAAACAAATCGACGTGCATGGAAACATGTTCTGTGTCAAAAGGGCCTTACTGAATTACGAAAAATGTATTGGAGTACAAAGAATGGTTTATCAATGACTGGGTGTGCGGCTGTACTAGATTCTTGTCCTAGTGATTGTTCCGTCATATGCTCGGTTTTCTTCCAGTAACAATTTACTGTTTGCACTCCTTTTCCTATATACTGGAGCAGACAAAATCTGGAGCAGCTATGCATGACAACCAATCAGCTTCTCTTTCATTTTCAAATCTCAGCTGGACAAACTGAAGAGAGAAGCTGATTGGTTGTAGTCTGTTTGGATTGCATTTACTTTGGTGCTGCAATTATGAACGAGTGTGACACCCAGTCGGTTGAGAGCTGAAATAAGCACAGGGGTAACCTGTTTACTTTCCTAAGTAATTTTGGGAAATGGAATTACTTGCTCAAATCTGGCCCCCTCTCCTGCTATACTTGCCTTTCTGCAACAGGTCCTTCCCCTCTGCCGGTACGGGTGTACTATCTGTAACTCATACTACCGTCCAGCGCAGCCCTGTGCTATGGATCATTTTCTTATTTCCATAATTGATTAGTTAGCCGATTTATTAACTTTGTATTAATCGGATAAAATCAAATAAAAATACCATAATTTATTTAATATAAAAAAAACCCCGCAGCATTAGACATAACGTTTACAAAATGTTTCTTAAAATTTGTCAGGTCGAAACTGAAAATTACTCTTCCGTGTGTGTGTGTGTGTGTGTGTGTGTGTGTGTGTGTGTATGATGACTTTGTTGGGCTGCCTCGTGACTCCACGAGATGTTGAAAGGTGATGCGAGGAATCTGACACTGCACTGTTGCCCTTCTGTTGTCTTGTACCAGTCTTGCCACTCTCTGCCTCCGTTCTGCCCTAACATTGACTAGTCGCTGACGGCCACAATTCGCACGTTCAGACCCAGATTTTCTGCTGACAGTCCAGTCTTTAAACACTTTAACAACAGCTGCTCTTGAACATGTAACAAATTCTGCTGTTTTGCTGATACTCGCTCCATGGCTCCGAGCGCCAACAATCATCCCACGTTCAAAGGCTGTTAAATTGAGTTGTTTACCCATATATTCAGAAAAAAAAATCACTTCTGTCGTGGTAAACAACCTGCTTCCCTATTTATAATGGTCTGGCCCTCTAGCAACTTCAGCGCGAAAGTATAGCTAATTTGCCTACAAACGTCAGGTGGTCATAATAATCTGGCTATATATATATATATATATACACATACACATACACACTGTATTGTGACCACCTCCATGGCCACAGGTATATAAAATCAAGCACCTAGGCATGCAGACGCTTCTACAAACATTTGTGAAAGAATGGGTCGCTCTCAGGAGCTCAGGGAATTCAAGCATTGCACCGTGATAGGTTGCCACCTGTGCAATAAGTCCATCCGTGAAATGTTCTTGCTTCTAAATATTCCACGATCAACTACCGTTTCCCCGAAAATAAGACACTGTCTTATATTTTTTGTGGCTCAAAAAAAACACACTAGGTCTTATTTTTGGGGTAGGTCTTATTTTTTTTTTTTAATGTATAACAATCCAAATTAAATAATCCAAAATGGCAAAGTTGAGAATTGGGTGATCAGGGCAATCAGGGGTGCCATACGTTTCCAAGAGCAATTTGGTAACCAGAATGAGTGAAGCGCACTTTCACTATAGATTCCTCACAGGCGGAGTACATTTGGTATCACTCCGCCTGTGACAGGAGCCGGCGCTATAGAGGAAACATCGGCCTTTGCGGCTCTGCTCCCTGAGCTGCCGCCTCGCTTCCTCTATCGCTGGCACCGCTGATTCTCTCCCGCAGCTCTTCAAGTTCCTCTTATGCCACCGCCGGCCCTGCGAATGGTCATAACTAGGTCTTATTTGTGGGGTAGGTCTTATATTTTAGCAATTCCCAAAAATGGTACTAGGTCTTAATTTCGGGGTAGGTCTTATTTTTGGGGAAACAGGGTATTAGTGGTATTATAACAAAGTGGAAGCAA